AAAGTTTCATTTGAACAAATGAATAGACTGACATTATTATTTAATATAATAGTTAAATTCATGAGTCAGTTAAAGCTAGACCATCACGGAAAACCTGGAAGCACTACACAGCCATTTCGTTCTATTGCGGAGCTCCTCAGCAGTGTTTATCCATGATCCCGCCTCACGTTATTCGAATCTAGGACCTATCGGTCTCATGCGCGTATGCATAACCACTTAACAACTGAGCCGGCCGGTATTCAACGATGTTAAGGTCTAACTTCAGCCAATCCACGAAATCGCGACCGATAGGTCCTGAGTTCGAATTTCACGGGGTGAGATCGTGGGTACGCCCTACTGAGGAGTTCTATACTAGGATGAAACGGTCGTCCAATGATTCCAGGTTTTCCATGGTGGTCTAGCTTCAATTGATTCATGATCTCAATCATTTAAACCTAGAAATCTATTACTTCTATTTGTAAATATTTTATATCTCAATTTCAGAAACTATTGAACAATGAATGAACAAGGTTATAATCCCCAAAATATTTCTCACAATAAATTATTTCGTCACTAAACGATATGTTTTTATTTAGATCAGCGATGGGTGGAGTTCAGCCGGGTTTGATGTGAGAGTAACTGACTGATGTCAATGGTGGATGCGTCGCTCAATTTCGTGGACTACTTGAAGTTGGACATTAAAACTGTTGGATACCTGCCGGCTCTGTGGTCTAGTTGGTTAAGCATTCACACGCGAGACCAATAGGTCGTGGGTTCGAATTTCTTGAGTGGGGTCTTGGATGTGCACTGCTGTGAAGTCCCATACTAGGTCGAAACGGCCATCCAGTGCTTCTAGGTTTTCCATTGTGGTCTAGCTTCAATTGACTCATGATCTCAACTATTAAATCAGAATTTGATATGATGAAGAAGTCGTAGCATTGTATTAGTAACAGTGATAGTGTAGTGAACGAGAATTCAGGTGAGGAAGATCAATTCATAATTTAGGGCGAAATACATGAATTGCAAATCTTACATAAATAGTCTCTTATAAAATTTCATCGTTATTACAATTGTCCTCTGTTCACATTTCTGTTCTCTTCAATTTGATCTTCTCAATCCTCTACTATCAGGCATTCCACTACTGACTGGTGTTATACACTACTTAAATATGTCCAGATAAGTAGCGTGCACTGTAGTAGTAGTAGTATTGGTATATTATATCTTTATCAGATGGATCAGACATCCAAGTTACTCAAGATTAAACCCCTTTCGCCTCTCACCCTTCAGCTGATGCCATTCTATCCCGACAATATAGAAGTCTGCTTCCGCTGCACAGAAGCTGGCTTCCACGAGCACGCGTGACAGAACCACACGTACAATTCCTCTCGGTGGTGAAAGCACTACCGCGTGATTTTAAAAATACGCCACATCCAGTATGTGTACTAGCGATGTTATGCAACATTGCGAAACTTTAAAAATCGCTATTCATAGGTGTGGAGCATTAGCTGGTCGACAAATAATAGACGAACCCTTCCAAAACATTGGGTTGCAAAGTGGTTCAGCAACGAATGAGAGAGGTTATTGGTCAACGAACATTTGACGATGGTCTGTTTAGACAGCTTTTCTCGATTAAGCCTCCCCAATAGGTGCAGGCAGTGCTTATCTCATTTCAAGATAATGCTGCAGACGAACTGGATGCATCTACCGACCGGATTATCGAGATCACCAGAACTTCCAGCTACCAGGCTTATTCTGTCAAACAAAAGTCTAAAACAATACAATACAATACGTCACAGACCTCGGTCACACTCTCACACGTTACCTTAATATTCATCATGACCGTAGACGCTCTTAAACTCTTCGAACGAGTTCTTCACCAAAACGATCTGTCGCTAAATGTGGTAAGTCATCTCGAAATTGCAGAAAACTCTACAGTTTCTCAAGCTTCAAATTATCCAACACGAACAGCTCTTCGGGAAATTTCTCCTTCGGAACGAGTTAACACCAACCATAGCCGATGAACAAAGCCGTTCGTTACGCATCATTGACATGATAAAGAAATTTCACTATTTCGTCGATACTGATACTAAAGTAATAATACATGTAGTTTGACTTCGAACATGAAACTATCAACCCGTTTGAATTAATATGAATTTAATTCATATTAAATTTTATACAGTAACACAGAAGACAAATGCTTTAATTCAGCCATGTGAACCACATCGATATACTTCAGTTCTCTGAACACTGTTAGCATTTCCTAAGTAAATGATAACAACGTATAATATACCTGATGTTAGGCCCGTTTAATGTTATCAACAGGCTTACCAATTTAGTGGTCCTATATCTCAATCCCCTTAGATCGTTTCTGATTGTCATCGTGATATACATACCACCAACTCTCGTATATAATCATCGACTTTAATCACATTAGTGAATAATGGAATAAAGTAAGTTAAATACCAGAATGAATTTCCTTAAATCATTGATCAGAACAGATAATAGGAGAGAATGAAATGCAGAGAAGCCAAACGAAATAACCTGAATTAGATAGATGTGTGAGCCAATTCATGACTCAATATTTAGATTCAAACGTGTATATCTCATTGCCAAATATAATAATATTGTTTATACAAGATGTCAAATATCATTGATATGACCTTATAGTAAACAAATATGTATTCTAGACAATAACATTGTCTAGTATACTAATATAATACATAATTCTGAACCATTTGTCGTCTAGGCTTGACTACATCTCTATACAAAGTTATTCAAGATATAAAAGAAAAAAAATGTTTACTTTAAATGAAGAGGAGACCTTCTTTTTCTTTTATTCCATTTCTATATTATGTAATGATTGACAGTGATTGTCTATTTCAAAAAGAATAGTTTACCGCCATTGACTGTAGTAAACAACAGAATGAAACATTTAACTGTTATATAGTGAAATTAATTGTATGATTGTGACTTGATTGAAATGAAGTTCTTTTTTTCAGTCTTACTTTTAACCATTTCAGTAGTATAATAAACTTGACGCTATTGATTATAAGGTGATATATATCTACTGATATGGTAAGTCGACCCTAAGATCAAGTCTTAGTTTGTAGAAGAAGAAGAAAGGGTGAGACCATATTTTATGAACGACCATTGAGCGACGCTAAAGTGGCCGTGAGAGTGTCCACCTAATAATTAGGACAAAATGAAGGTTATAAACTAGCATATGGAGGAATAGAATTATGATTTGTAGTTGATGGCTAGGGTTAGGAATTTGATTTAGGGTTTTCATCACAAACTGATATCAGTTATAATGCCAAGACTCTATTTAGTCAAATGGATGAATGAATCCGAGACTTGTTATCTTATACCTGATTGGTTCGTCCATAAATTATAGTCTCACCAAAGAAAGATGTTTCGGGAGATCAAAAGTATTTCAGAACAGCGTTGAAAACACTGAGAAACATTTTATCTAATCAGCGTTATACAGACGTTTCTCGGAAATATCTAGATAAGGAAGAGTTACGTGTCCTATTTATGATTACCTATTATGCAGCTATGTTCAGTATGGTTCCACAAACTTTTAGAAGCTCAAGACTATCTGAAATACCATAAATATCTTCGACTTTCTGTACATAAACCAACCTAGAAGTAAAACGTCTCTTTTCCACACATTGCGTCTTCTCTCATTTGCAAATCGTCGTGTAGATTTAGTTTGAGATTATTAGAACTTAGGAAACCGATTCATACGTTCACTTAGACAACTTATCACTTAATGTGTACAGGATATTATATTGTGTAACAATCGGCCGATTAAGGTCAATAGTATTTTTAACAATTTTCATGTAGTCGTACATAATGAGGTGATCATTCGCATTGTTATAAGCCAAAGACTTTTTTTACCTTTTATACAGGGGTTCAAATGGCCTTAACTCCATATTTATAATATTTACAATTATATTGATCTCGATGTTCAAGTAACACTGATTTCTTACTCAGTAATGAATCTAATATTGTGACTATAATAGAAAAGAGAAATTTACTCACACTAATTCAATTCACTTTGTCGATAGTATCTCTAGATTTCAAGTGGTCAGTTATGTCTTGCGCTTGATGGGAATCTTGAAGTAAGATGGAGACCACTAGACTAAGATGGTAAATCGTTTGATACAGTAGTCAGTGATCATCAACTGAGGTGCCATGGACATATATTACTTATACTTGACCACCACCTATATCGGTATACGCCGTGGGTGGGTGTAAGAGTAATCTGGAAAAATATGATATTAGTGTATGAAGTGATTCACTGTTGAAATGAGTTGTGTTGGTTGACGCAAACAACATGACTTAAGCTTTTAAGATTACTTTAATAAATGGTTGGATAAATATGATACACAATCGATCGGAATGAAATACATACATTCGCTCTTAATCTGAACTTGGATCCAAAGTTTAGAAATGACCTTATATTTCTTACTCAGTGAATTCATCCTCCCTTTTTGAACAATAATGTTTATTCTAAATCTTTGCCACTGCCATTCATACCATAACCACATATAGTACGTGGGATTTGTTTTGATAAGTTTCTCTCTCTATTTTTTTTATATCTTGTAACCAAGATGATTAGGAGTAGGTATGTGCTAGATTCTACGTTGCATATGAAAAGTGTCATTCTTGATCGTGATTAGCTCGTCTGTATACCATACTTTTACCGTTCCAATTTACTTATAATCAAGCATGAAGCATGTTTCAAAACCTGGAAGCACTAGACAAACGTTTCATCCTACTATGGAACTGCTCAAAAGTGAGCATCCACAACCCTTATATCCGTGAATCAAACCAATCACCTTTAGTTATACACACGAACACTTATCCTCTAGATCAGTGAGCTGCTATCTAACGTACTACATGACTGTACTAACTTCAATCAATTCCATCTTAAAACTAATTACTTGAGATGCAAACATTTCTCTGTTTGACCGACAACTAAATGCATCATTTCACAAATGTTAGAAAGCTATCAATCATAAATTATAAATAATATACTTTATAAAATGTAAATATAAAATAAGTCATCTTACAGGACATCATAAATCCCTATACATTCTCCTATTTTTTACACACTAACAATGCCATACAACGTGGTGATAAAACTGGGTCAAAAATACGTATATAACCAGAATATTGATAAGGATCAACTTGATCATATTTTCCATTTACGTTGCCATATTCTCTAAGATACCATAAACGATCAAACAGTACAATTGTCTCAAGTAATGGTTGAAATAATTGCTGTAAAGCTAATAGACCTGGTATCAGATTCCATATCTCTTCAAAATAGTCACGATATTCCGTGAAACATAAGTCACTATTAGTCGACTGATTGAAACATAGAATATCTGCTAAGTACTTTTGCCAAAAGTTGATAATATGTGGATACACATCATTGAAGTGAAGTGATCGAGGATTATCATTCGCATCATTTTCATGATAATTAGTAGCTAATAATTTCTTTATTGCATCACATTGTGTCACTGGATCAAGTCGTTTATATCGTTCAAATACCATAGACAAGTTTTTATACTTGATCAATATCAAATCTAAAATTATACGAGCCAATACACGTATACGATGCTTATTAGCATCTAATTCTGTCCAATTTAACCATGTTAAAGGTGAATGTTGACAGGCTAAACGTAGTGTAGCTGGTGTAATACATTTTTCAATAAAGTTCATATCACAATTTAACATCGCTTTACGTAAGTAATCACTCGTAGGAAACTAAATAAACCGAAATTAAAACAAAAAAAACTCCAATAAGAAATACATTCAAAATGAAAACAATTATCAGTATAGGGAATGCAGAGATTCTTAAATTTTGATTGAGATCACCGTTGAAAACCTGGAAGCACTGGACGGCCGTTTCGTCCTATCGTGGGACTCCTCAACAGTGCGCATCGACGATCCCGCTCGCGGGACCAGTAGGTTCTGGGTTCGAATCTTTCAGGGGGAGAGGCCGCGGATGGGAACTCTTGGGGAGTCCCACAATAGGACGAAACGGCCGTCCAGTGCTTCCACGTTTTCAATGGTGGTCTAACATCAATCGGTTCATGCTCTCAATCAAAACAATTATGCGTTGAACTGATGGAATGAAAGGAAAAAATGGTTTTATTCTAATATACTTACATATTCTATGTCAAACTTATCACAATTAATTAGCTAAAAATCTATAAGAAACAGAATCGGCAAAGCAAGAGTAGCATATCTACAATTAAAGAACATCCGGAACTCAAAACAATTGTCAACCAACACCAAAGTCACAATTTTTAATACAAATGTCAAGCCATCATCCAGAAGATACAAGTGTTTGGTAACAGTTTTCTACGCAAAATACTTCGGAACCGTTGACCAGACAGTATCAACAACAACCTACTGTGCGAGAGAACAAACGAGATTCTAGCGGACAGAGAAATCAGGAATACGCGCTGGGGGTGGATAGGACATACATTGAGGTAATCACCCAACTGAGTCACAAGGCAAGCGCTCACATGGAATCTTCAAGGCCAAAGGACGACCAAAAAACACATTACGCCAAAAAGTGGAGAAAGACATGAAAAAGATGAACAAAGATTTGATAGAACTAGAAGGGAAGGCCCAGGACAGAATGGGTTGAAGAATGCCGGTCGGTGGCCTATGCCCCATAAGGAGTAACAGGCGAAAGTAAGTAAGTAACAGAAAAAAACCCACAAATTGAGAAAATTTGATTGACAACATATTTGCCAAATATTAAATTATACAATCAGCTTTTCACATAAACATTTCATTTAAGAAGAATCGATACTATAACGCTGCCTAGATTGAGTATGATAGATCGAGTTATCAGGTTGGAACTGAGCGGATCGTATTCAAGTGGTTGAATCATTAATTATCATTTATTTTATTTTAACACACAGATATTGGTACAAGGAGGCACAAAATACATATGCGCCATGCAGATCTCATTTGATATGTATGAGGGCTGTGATACTACCCGGGTGCCCAAATCGAAGCAGGTGGTTTCCTTAGGCAGTGAGTAGGATTTCTATGGGAGTGGTTTTATGCACATGGCCATGTGAGAGCATTTGGAGAGAGAGAGAGAGCTGACTTTCCCCACTCTCTGCTGTACCAGGGCATTTGGGATAAAACTCAACAGATCTTGTGTTGAGGTTAAATGATAACAAAAGCCATGTAGAGATACCACGATTAAAAAAACACCAAGTTAGTACTCCGAATGTTTAAGAATGCATCCAAATAAAACCAGATATTTTAATCTGATTTTAAAACTCCAATTCAGTGTAAACCAGTGACTGACCGAAATGCCCTGGTATGGCCGAGAGTGGGAAAAGTCAGCTCTCTCTCTCCAAACGCTCTCACATGGCCATGTGCATAAAACCACCCCCATAGAAATCCTACTCACTGCCTTCTCGCAGCATTACTGTTGTTTACGAAATTGAGAGGACAAAAAGCGAATGTCTGGCACTTTAACCGGGTTTGTGGATACGGAGGATCCACCTAGGGGAGTTGGAAAACCCTGATTTCAAAACACTAGTGAACATGGTATCCAGTATCCTGAGAAGAAGAACGGCACATGAACCAGCTGTTGGTCACCGGTTACCATCGCACTGCATCTCCTTACGTTGCTCCACTACTTTATGGATCAGACCTTTAGCTCGAAAGCTCCGGGTGTGGCCGCTAAGAAAACCACCTGCTTCGGTTTGGGCACCAAAGTAGCATCCCAACCCTCACATAAATCGAATAATTTATGTGGTGTATATATATTCGGTAACTCCGCCTGAAGTCCCTCCGGGGGCTACTGCCGGTCCCAAGCCCGGATAAAGGAGGAGGATTGGGCATGAGGTTAGCGTCCCCATCCCGTAGAAAACTAACTCGCTAAAAAAACGCTAACCAGAAAAATATATATATTCGGTGCCTCCTTGTACCAATGTTTATGTGTTTAAATAAATAAATAAACGAATTACTCTGCTAGACGTTTAAGTCAGAACTATCAGGTTGCACAAAGAGTACATCACGTTCAGATGAACGTATTGGTAACTAATTGCTTACATTTTCAAATCTAGTAAATACAGAATATTTCACAGTAAACATCCGTGATCGACGTTGGACGTCACCGGTATTATAGTTTTTCACAAAAAAAACTCGTCAATGAGAAAATGTTTATTAATAGAATAAGAGTTTGTGAAATGATTTAAGTTGGAAATATGAATAGTTTAATAACAACTGAGCTATCTAAAAGTAAGTAACGGTCTTAAGTTCGATACTTAAAATGGCTGTAGGTGAGTGCTTTTGAGAAGTTCACAACTAGCAGGAAACAGACCTTTAATCCTCTCACTTGTTTTTAATGACTTACAACCAAACCAAATAAAACTGACTAATCAACACAAACTTTCTATTCTGGAAGAAAGCAAAATCTAAATTTCATATTTTCGATAACACATTTTACCTAACTTATAAATCTGTTGAAGAGTTTCAAAGCAATATCGAAAATAACCCAACAATATTATTAGAATGGGGGTTTTGTAGGGATTGGAGTAATTGTAATAGTTGAGTTCATGGGTCGATCTAAACTAGATTACCATCGAAAACCTGAAAGCACTTTACAGCCATTTTGTCCTAGTATTAGACTGTTCAACAGTGCGCATCTATAACCCCGCGCGAGGCCGAAGGTCCTGAGTTCGAGTCCTGCATGTGGAACCATGGATGCGCACTATTGAGCAGTCTCATACTAGGACGAAACGGCTGTACAGTACTTCCAGGTTTTTAACGGTAGTCTAGCATAGATCGACTAATGAATGAATGATCGACTAATTAAAATCCTTACCTTTTCCACTGTCATTTTATGATAACAACATCCGACTAATAGTAGAATTTTTGCTGAACAATCTTGATGAAATAATTCAATCATAGATTGACTTAAATCTCCACAACAATGTAAACCAAGTAATAAGTAATTATAACCAGAAGTCAATTGATAAAGTCTGGAACAAAAAGGAGAATATACCTATTTAGATGATAAATGAAATATTCGTATAGAATTGGAAGATTTCAAAAAATTACAATAATTAATTGAATCAATTCATTGAAATTGAATTCAAATGGATCATACTGTGAAGAAACTCCACCTGGAGACCCTCTGAGGCTACTGCCAGTCCCAAACCGAGATAAAGGAGGAGGGTTGGACATGGGGTTAATGACCCCATCCCGTAGAAAACTAAGTCGCTATAAAAACGTTAATTAGAAATATTGTGAAGATGTATTAGTTGTTTATTAAATAGTAGTGACATTTTGTGTGTTCCACAGCCTTTATGGAGAGTAATATCAGATTAAACAGTTCAAATTTAAAGAGAATAATTGGAAAATTAGCTTACAATCATATTTGTTAGATAAATGGTAAACTGTAATATTGAATACTTAAGGACATAATTTTTATTTTATTTATTTGAGTATATAAATATTGGTACAAAAAGTCACCGAATACATATGCGCCACATAAGTCACTTGGTTTGTGTGTGGGCTGTGATACTGCCAGGATGCCCGAACCGAATCAGGTAGTTTCTTTAGGGGGCCACAACCGGGGCCCTCAACCTAAAGGTTTGATCCACAAGGCAGTGGAGCATCGTAAGGAGATGTAGTCCCATGGTAACCGGTGACCAATGATTGGTTCATACGCCATTTGTCCCTTCAGGATACTGGAGCCCATGTGAAGTGGTTTTCCAACTCCCCTAGGTGAATCCTCCATATCCACTAACCTCGTTAAAGCGCCCGACATTCGATTTTTGTCCTCTCAATTTCGTAAACAACAGTAATGCTGCATAATGATACATAACTGTAATGATACATAACTGTGTCAATAATTCAAAAACAACTTGGATTTTAGACTGAATACACGTTATAAAATCTAACTTGGCTAAAACTAGTTTATCGCTCCAATCTTACTGTTTTCAGTCATAAAAAGACGTCACTGATTTGGTCATTCAGTAATTCTGATAATCAATTCTCAATTTGAGGGCTTTAATTTTAAATGCGATCCTAAACAACTTTAATTTATGTTTTTTTTATTGAGATCATGAACCGATTGATGTTAGACCACCATTGAAAACCTGGAAGCACTGGAAGGCCGTCTCGTCCTATTGTCGGTTCATGGTCTCAATCAAAAAGAAAAATTAGCAATCTCCACAACCCCTAAACTGATAATTACCATGTGCTCACTAGTGACTAGCTTCGTGAGAAAATTTTCGGAGTTTTAGCGAGGAGCCGTGACCAGTGGAGCTAATGCGTGTCGGGTAGAAACAGGTGTCTACCTCAGTACAATGGAAGATGGTCGCGCAATTTTGTGGATTGATTGAGGTTACACATTAACACCATTGGATACCGGCTAAGTGGTCCAGTAGGTTAGGTGCTCGCACACAAGACTGAAGGCCCTGGGTTCGAGTCCCGTGAGCGGGATCGTGGACGCGCACTACTGAGGAGTCCCACAATAGGACGAAACGGCCGTTCAGTGCTTCGAAGTCTTTGATGTTGGTCTAGCATCAATCGGTTCATGATCCTAATAAAAAAAACTTGACATTCTCCACAACTCCTAAACCGCTTAATTTATGTGTTTAATTAGTAGTACAGTTAGATCATATGGGCACTCAGTTTGGATTCAAATCGACTACATCACTGATCATTCGATGAATGATAATTTATTACAATAATGACGTTTACTAGAAAAGGTAACAAAAATTTAAAAGAACAAGGTAAGAAGAAACAATTTCAATATCTTAATGAAAATACTTTAGTTCAGAAATCCTGGAAGTGATTAACATGAAAAACAATGAATTATGAGTGAAACTAACTTAAAAACCGAGTACAAAAGAGCTTATATCTGACAGGGGTTAGAACAGTGGATTCTATGAAGTGTGCTTGATTCTTTATGATAAGTTAAATAAGTAGAAAAAGACTGGAAACTAGAATTTATCGCTTTCAGCACAGAATCACTGACATGGAACACCAGACCATCAATACTTATATTTATACGGCTCTATATTTTCATGTCGTTAATGTCACAAACCTCAAATGATCAGTCTTCATGACTATATATACGTCTTGAATGGATTGCTTCATGATTGTAGGCTGAATTCAGTAGCTAGATGGACAACGAGATGGTGTTTGAAGCAAAAGATAATGAATTCAGGTCAAATTATCACTCGAATGTTAGATCCAGTAGATCCAGCTGAAGGTTGACGAAAAGAAGAAACCGTGAGTTCGAATTCCTCTGCTACCGACTATTCAACTTACCAATACATTCTTTTCTATGACGAGTTAGATTAAATGCTATTCATCTAAGGATTATTTTAATGTCATAGCATACTATTGAATTAGTTATAAGTAGTTTAAAAGAATTAAACTAATTTGCAAAAATTAACCAACCTTGTTTGTAACAAATCTAAATTTGTCGATTCAACACGAAATAGTAATCGTTTCACAACTGAAGTTAAAGATTTCACTTGAAATATTGAATTATACTGACTTAAATTTGTCAAAGCTTTGAGATGTAAACCCTCATCACATTCAACTGCAATAATTTGAGGTTCTGTAAATAAATCCCCATATTTAAGTATTAGATGATAACCAATATAATTAGATAAATAGCCTAATCCAGAACCAATATCAACAATCTTAAGTGGGATGCTTGAATTTCGATCTAGAAAACAGTAAATCATAAAAGTGAAAGTATAAATCATCGAACCGTAAGATAATAACAAGTCATTATCTACAATTATAAAGTATATTTGATAATGTAAAACATATCGGATGCTAAGTTCTTGCTGTTTAGATTGTATATAACACGTAAATCAAACAAACCCTTAATTGCTAGCCTTCAATCTTAAGCCGAACTCCAAATTTTTAATACTAACTCTGGATAAATAAATGTAGGAATGGTTAATCAGTAGTGCTGGATTTCGGACTTTAAAAAAAGACAAGGTTTTATCCTCCTGTAGACGTTCTGACTATCAATATGATATAATTGTGTTGATTATGAATGAGCTTATATTATCAACGTCATATCCTGGTCTAGTCCACAAGGCAGTGGAGCAACGTAAGGCGATGCAGTGCGATGGTAACCGGTGACCAACAGTTGGTTCATATGCCGTTCTTCTCCTCAGGATACTGGATCCCATGTGCACGACTGGTTTGGAATCAGGGTTTCCCAACTCCCCTAGGTTGACTCTCCATGTCCACCAACCCGGTTAAAACGCCAGACATTCGCTTTTCGTCCTCTCAATTTCGCAAACAACGGTAATGTCGCGAGAAGGCAGTGAGAAGGACTTCCCTGGCAGAGGCTATATACGCGTGGCCATGTGAGAACATATGGAGAGGGAGAGCGGAATCTCCTTACTCTCGGCCGTACCACGGCACTTGCGGGCAATGGTCGTAAACAAAACTAAACGTTCGTAGCTTATTATTAGTGAACAAGTGTACTGAATTGACTGGAATTATGTAATATGTGTAATTGGTTACTTTTTAAAATTGTCTGCAACATGTAATCACACTTTAAGTAGAAATGACTATAACTTAATCAATTCATTATATCGGTTAATGACACATGCTCAATTCAATTTTTATGATTTATTTAAACACATAAACATTGGTACAAGGAGGCACCAAATAGATATGCACCACATAAATCAATCGATTTATGTTAGGGTTGGGATACTACACGGGTGCCCAAATCGAACCAGGTGGTTTTTTTATATGGCCACAGTTCAAACCTTTGATTTAAAGGTCTAATCCACATGGCAGTGGAGCAATGTAAGGAGGTACAGTCCCGTTGTAGCCGATAACCAACAATAAGAGAGCAAGAACAAAAGTTGGTACAGAATAATACATGAATTCATTTTATTTCGTTAGGTTCTCATCAGCTGCTTACAACCTAAAATATTTGAAATTCAACGTTATTATAGATATTGACATACTTATACAACAGAGGGCGATGAAAGATAAATATATATGTAACGTAATGTGGCAAAGATTTCGTTAGAGTTAATGAGGTCATAAAGTTTTGTTTCGAATATATAGAGTTTGGGAGGGAAAGTTCCAGAACATTGAAATAGTGATTATAAATCATGGAATTAAAACACATTAGATTATTATATAATGAAATAACTGAAAATACATTAATGACGTAATTATAAGATTCAGAAAGAGTTGGAATGACGTAATAAATAAAAGGGGGGGGGGTAATGTTACTAGGGCAAAGAAAGATTTATTACTGTTTTTTGCTCTTTTTTAAATAATAAATGGAACTATGTGTATGAAACCAACAATAAGTTTATACTCCATTTGTTCCTTGTGATCCTGGAACCCATGTGCACCATTAGTTTGAAATCAAGGTTTTATTACTCCTCTCCGTGTCCATCGTCGAAAAAATATACATTAATCAGATGTCAGTTCCTAAACTGCTAACATCTAACTGGCGATCACGATCGATCAAAAAATAAAAAAAGGAAATTTATTGAAATACTTTGTGCTGAGAATTCCATATTGACTACTGCCTTCCATGTTCACAGCCACTTTTTGGCTTTATTGTGTATAAATGTTATTTCCTATTTTATGGTGCATTGTGGTCTGTTTGGTTGATATATAAACCCAGTATGCCTGAAATAAATGATTCGATTCGCATACTGGGAGCTGGTATTTGGTGTTCTGGTCTCAATTAGACGGGCTACGCGAAGATAGAACCAATAAGGACGCTAGACTGCTCACACCACTAGAACGTCATTGGTTTGGCACAGTCGTATTTTGATTAGTGGATAAATCACGTGATAAAAAGTCGGACATAAACTCACAACAATTTGTCGAAGGGGAGAATTGAATTAATCATAAATAACAATAATGAAAATTTCGCTAACCTTTCATAATACTATTTTCTATCAATTCATTACTGATTAAAGGAATATTTTGAAAATGATCACTAATATGTTCATTATTCAGTAGAAATTCATTAAAGTGGAATATATCTTGTGAAGAATTAACAACTTCATTATTTTTATTATTATTACTATTAGTGGTAGTCGTCGTTGTTGTCGTCGTCGTAGTAGTAGTAGTCGTCGTCGTCGTCGTCGTCGCAGTAGTCGTCGTCGTCGTCGTGGTAGTCGTCGTCGTAGTAGTACTATTCACAACTGATAATAAGATTGTTTGAATAAGTATCGATATTTGTTTAAGTTCATATGATTTCTTTTTTGATAATTTTAATAGATAATTCTTTTCTATATTATTCATTTGTATACATTTTATTAAATCTGTACATATACTATTAGAATTGAAATAACAACAAGGAAATTGTTTATTTGATTTGAATATCATATATTGAAATAATAATCTTGTGAATTGACGACATTGAATAGATAAATTTATAAGACTATTAGGCCAATGGGATAAATTTGAAGTACCTAAAACAAACATCTAAAATGATAAAAATGTAAATGGGGACCATATGTGATTTTATTGATAATATAGTGATTAATAGACAAAGCAAATAAGATATCTGATGATCATTCATTTTTGTATTGGTTAATGTTTAGGACTACGGTTTAGTCAGTCAATTACAACGTAGGACTAGGCATATATATGTAACAGTCTAAGTTGCTATATCTCATTAGCACAACAAGATGAATAGCAAATTCATAGTAGTTGTGGGATTTGGATTACTTATATCCACATAATTAGTGTAAAACGGTAATCAGGCATAGAATGTATTTCAGTAGAAGATCGATGAAGAAAGGAAGGAGACGGGACGCAATTGGTATGAAAATGCATGAACCATTAAATCTGAGACAATGGACTGATACTTGCAAAAGAAACAGACAAGTTTGAGACGAAAATCAACTTTGAGATGCAGGTACATCCGGCTGACGAGTCCCAAATAAGACGAAACGCGCGTCCTGGATTCCACTGCTAGCCATTATCCATCATTGCTCGTTGACTATATGGTTCTCAGATCTTATTGAGATATTTTGTAATTTTGTACTTAACTACATTCGTTTGTCCCCACTCGTGTACTTGTTCCAGCAGTTGCTAGAATGGTAGTAATATATAAAAGAACGGTTGTATATAAGAATATAATACAGGAAGAAAGGACTAGTTCATAGAAAGAAAGATATAAAGTAATTTTGATCTCATAGTTTAAGGGCAGACAGTGAGGGTATACGCCAACGACATTGTGATCGATTCTCAGCCATGTCACCCACATAATCCAACCATTGGTTACGATAGTCACGCAGAACCCAACCAAGTTGTCTGCATCTACTAACATGGCTCAGACTAGAAGTTAGTGACTTCAACGACTGATGTCACATTTTGGTTTGTCCGCCCTTAACTTTCTTCTAACCATCCTCAACATTAGTCAGCACTGCACATCGTGGTAATCGATGTTCGGTCATACCTAACACGTGGCTCAACCATCTCAGTCGATGAAGATTCACTAACTCATGACCTGACTTACCATCATTCCCTAATCCCCTACGTCTAACCTCACTATTGCTTACCCAGTGATCCCAGCAGATGCGAACAATATTTCTAAGGCATCTCTGATCGAATCCTAGTAGCTTACAAATATCTTTTACTTTTAATGCTCAACACAAATCAACTAGATTGATAATATTCGATCAATGGATAAAGGTTAGACAAGTATAACACTGATCATTACTACTATTTAGCAATCAGTCAGCGTGAATATTACAGCAACAACAACAACAATGTTAAACTTTAACAAAATATTCTCTTCATTTAATTATTATCAACATTTCTTTTTCTAATCAACTTACTTGTAATTCTTGAAGACTCGCACTCTTTAGTACATTTTTCCAAGATGTTGGTAAACTTTCAATAATAGATGATATGCATAAATTAGAAGAATCTTTATTAATCTTACATAAATCACCAATCCATTGAAAATTATATATCCAATTATATTCCAAGATGAATATGAGCAGATTATGAATGAGTTCATTTAAACTATTGGATGACATATTGTGTACATATATATATACCACTATAAAATAACAAAATAGTAGATAAGTAGAAGGTAAAAATAAAATGATTGATAAATTAATCTTCGGAGATTTATAGAAACCGTAAACTTTTCAATAGTGTGCATGCAAAACTTTGTAACGGGAAATCGAACCAAAAACTTTTGATCTTACGTGAAAACGTCTAACCATCGAACCACTGAGCCCCCAAATGCCCTGGTACGGCCGAGAGTGAGGAGAGTTCGCTCTCCCTCTCCAAATGCTCTCACATTGACACGCATATATAGCCTCTGCCAGGGAAGTCCTACTCACTGCCTTCTCATGGCGGGGGTGTTATTCACGAATTTGAGAGGACGAAGAGCGAATGTCTGGCGATTTAACCGGGTTGATAGACATGAAGAGTCCACCTAGGGGAGTTGGAAAACCCTGATTCCAAACCAATGGTGCACATGGGCTCTAGTCTCCTGAAGAAACAAATGGCGTATGAACCAATCGTTGGTCACCGGCTAACATAGGACTGCATCTCTTTACATCGCTCTACTGCCTTATGGATCAGAACTTCAGGTCAAAGGCTCCGGGTGTGGCACCCTAAGAAAACCGCCTGCTTCGGTTTGGGCACCCGGGTAGTATCACAGCCCTCATACATATCAAATGAGATCTGTGTGGCGAATATGTATTTGGTGCCTCCTTGTACCAATATCTATGTATTTAAATAAATAAATAAATAAATAACTGAGCCGGCATCAAAACTATAACTATAACAGGTATGAGATAGTTATTCATCACAGATAGTGGATGGAGGTGTATCGATACGAGCTAGACATATAAACCATAGGATGCCAACCTAGTGGTTCCAGGGTTACGAGTTCACACATGAGATTGGTTCTAGGTTTGATTCCCCACTGCGAAGTATTGTATGCGCTCTGCTGAAGAGTATCATACCAGTTTGAGAAAGCTATTCAATGATTTCATGTTTTTAGTGGTATTCCAACTAAGAATAATTCGTGATTTAAATTATGAAACCTGTTAAGCAATTAGTTCAGTTCGCCGAAAAAAAGTACATAACAAGTCTGAAAACAACCCACTTTGTAATTAAGTCTACATGAAATTTCCAATTTATTCTTACAATCTTTCCTTTAAAAATTCTTAAAGATTTATTAATATTATGCAATGACGAAGTCTATTTCATAGTTGAACGTGAATACTTTCGCCAAATCGATGGGATCGTTATCAATAGTTCGTTAGAACCAATATTAAATAACATGTTCATGGAACATGATAAAAATCTAGCTGAATACCTAATCGAAAACATGTCCTTTTAAAAGAGATATAGAGATAACATCTTGGTTATGTATGAAAGGCCGGAGGATATGAATTGTCAATTGAATAAACTTAACCCTCTTGAAAACCACATAAGGAGAAAAATGACCAACTACTTACCATAGATATACTTATAAGTAGAAGAGAAGATGGTTCAACCAAAAGATTGATTTTTTGAAAGTTAACTTGGACAGGCCAGTACCTTCTTTGTTTTGTGGTTACTACAAAGTTCAATACAAACGGGGTTTGGTAAGGGGACTATCTAACAGGATTGATCGTATTTGTACAAAAGACTTTATTGATGACGAAGAAACGTTATTAAACAAAACATAAACGGAAAATGGTTATCCTTTAAAATTCCTAAATCTATGGAAAGGTATAGTGAAACCTATTATATTTAGGATATAAAAAAAGCCTGTCTACATCGCCTTACCGTTCATAGGTGAATAAAATAGCCTTTTATTCAAACAAAGGGTTAAAACATTATAAGCAAAGATGGATAGTGGCTAGCAGTGGAATCCAGGACTCAGTAGCTAAGTGGATAACGCGATGGCGTTTGAAGCGAACGGCACTGAGTTCGAGTCCCAGAGTGAACATCAACTCTGAGATGCAGGTACATCCAGCTGACGAGTTCCAAACAGGACGAAATGCGCGTCCTGGATTCCACTGCTAGCCACTATCCACCTTTGCTTATAATGCTTGTAAATTAAGGCAATATCGAGGCATACGCACAGTATGCACATATGCCAATAAGAGACTGATCAATTTCAGTCCTAAAACATCAATGGGAAGATTCAAGTAAAACAATATCAAGTGAATTAAAGGGTCAAAACAGTTACTAAAAAAAACGTACTACACAGAAAACGTTATTATCAAAGAAAAACAAGGTCCATCCATCACCAAAAACCTAAAAGGTGTGGAAACGATTGCGTCACATCCTACTGTGTTTACCAATTTAAATATGTGCGTGGCCACACGTATATAGGGAAGGATAATCGTGATCTTCAAATTAGCGTGTCTGAATATGTATCTATATGATTTCAAAAACAATTAAAATCAAATGACCTTACAAGTGTAGACAATAAACATCCAAAATCCTCTATTACCAAATATAAAGTTGAAATAGATAATAAGATTGATCTTAACACGGCTTTTTTGGTGTAATACAAGTAATAAAGGGAACATATTAAGGTTTACTGAAGACTTGGCCATACGAAAATTCAAACGCCCTATGATCAATTGAAAACCATAGATATGTGAACGAAGAATATTCTTTTCAATAAAATCCTCTTCAAGTTGTACAATTATTTATTTGAGCACATAAATATTTTCACAAAGGGGCATCGAATGCCCTTACATGGCCACGTGTATACAGACGCTGTCAAGGAAGTCCTACTCACTGCCTTCTCGCGGCAATACTAATGTTTAAGAAATTGAGAGGACAAAAAGCGAATGTTCGGCACTTTAACCAGGTTTGTGGATACAGAGGATTCACTTAGGAGAGTTGACAAACCCTGATTCCAAACCAATGGTGCACATGGGATCCAGGATCCTGAGGGAAAGAATGGCGTATGAACCAATCATTGGTCACCGGTTACCATTGGACTGCATCTCCTGACGTTGCGACACTACCATGTGGATTAGACCTTTAGGTTGAAAGCTCCGGGTGTGGCCCCTAAGAAAACCACCTGCTTAGCTTTGGGCACCGGGGTAGCATCCCAACCCTCACATAAATCGAATGATTTATGTGGTGCATAACTGTTTGGTGCCCTCCTGTACCAATGTTTATGTGATCAAATAAATAAATAAATTTTTGGACTATTAATTTGGATAAATAATTGTAGAACCTGAAGAGAAATTTTTATTATTGAAAAGAATATTCTTCTCCCGTACATCTGTGTTTTAGTATTGATATAACGTAAGGTTTACAATATATTCCTCCCTCTACATGTATATTACAATAATACGTTTATAAGGCTAATCACGTTATATCAGAAACAAGATTCACGACCCAAAATAGAGGATCAGATTAACAATTATGAGCAGTCACACTCAGTGAGTCAAGATTAGAAATCACACATGTAATACTCTGTAGGATGTGGCTATTTGTCCATGTTTAACGATCAATCGTCCTTTAGTTTCACTCTCACACATCAAATATGAAGGGAATTTCCCAGCGATTAAAATCTTGTATTCAAAAAACAGTTTGTTATCACCTTAAACCTACCCTGTTAATACTAGTTTATCATCCAACGTGATGAGTTTCACATTGTTTCCTTTATTATCTTTGCTTACTCTTACCTTAGATGTGCCTATTTGCCCATTTATTTTTATATATAAATGTTCTTAACAAGTATACATGTATTCAGATTGTTCGAAATGTATTAAGCTAATATAGTACATTGTTCTAATAATATTCGTCTTCTTATTACACTATCCAATTTTATAAAAGGAACTGATTACTTTGAAAATAAATTGGATATAGGACGTCTACAACCATAGAATCCTTCGAATCAGTATACAAAAAAGGGGCATTGAAACTATAAAAATT